TAAGTTGCCCTCCAAAACAGGCTCAAAGTTTTATACATAATATATACAAAAATATAATCTACAAGCAAGAACCTGTCTTCCACATCACTATCAAAATCAGGAAATCAACATTAATATAATATCCCGGGTTCAGTTCCCATTCAAAATTTCCCAACTTTTTAGACAATATCTTAAGACTTTTCTTCGGAACAAATAATTTCAAATTCAAATTAGATATTTCTTAAATGAGTCATGGATTCTCTAAGTGAGGAATTCTATTTAGAAGCTAAGATCAGGGCTTTGAGAGCAATTTTGCTACTGAAATGGACAGAGTATACATAACATATATTATGTATGTATTATCTGTATGTATGAATACACAGACATTTTCAACTACATTTCTATCTATGTTTATCATCTTTATAACCATCATCTATCTATCTATCATCTACTATTTAATCTCTTTATAGGATTCATAGCCTGTGTAGGCATCACTGCTGGTTCCTCCATCCCATCCCATCCCATCCCATCCCATCCCATCCCATCCCATCCCACATGTGTGCTGGGCTTCAAAACTCTTCCTTCTGCAGTCCTACTCTTCTCAGGATGATACCCTATACCTGGTGCTCCCGTTCTGAGACACCCTACCCTTCCCCATGGGGGTGAGTGGATCTGATAACCACACTTGATGTTCACCCTTTTACTTTGGTACCCCGACTTGTTTGGGTTCCTGTGCCTCACATCATTTGATTCTGCACTTGCATTCCCTTTGCCTCCGTTGGGCTCAGATCTGAAGTCTCACTCTGATCATCTGATCCTTTTCTCTTCAGTTATAATTAAATCCTCCACTAATGGCTTTTCAGACTAATTGTTTAAAAATAGACTACAGAAAAAAAAGAAGAAAAATGAAAAGATAGTGGAAAGGGAAAGGAGACGAAAAAGGAAGAGAGGGAGCAAACTGCTTGGAGAAAATGAAAACTTTTTTTTTTTTTTTAATTTAAACTCTTCTCCCTTGTGGAGAGAAACATGGAAAATTTCTTAATTCATGTTAAAAGCTAAGATAGCAAGTTAATAATTTCAAAAATATTTTTTAAGTCTTTCTAAAAACTGCCTCTGTATACAGAGAGGATGTGAAGATTTCTGAACATAGGATAGAAGATTGGCAAAAATTCACTCAAGTGTTCATGTGAGTGTGAGGTGTTCTTTTTCTTGTTTCCCTTTACATCAAAGCTCAGAAGCCATGGAATGAGGAGACTGGCAAACCATCAAGAAGGAGGAGTCATAGAATATCTGGAGTCATGGAATAGCTGCTTTGGGATCTTGAGAAGCGATGCTTTCCTGTTCCACAGAAATTATGAAACTGACCCAATCCGAGGGTCTGTATGTCACTGCTGGTTCACTGACTGTCTGTGTGGTATGTCACAGTGGAGGGTCTTCTGACTTCCTCATGAGCTCTTTTGAGGTTAGTGCCCTGAATCACTAAAAAGGACTCAATACAAAGGGAATTTTCAGGAAGGGCTGACTGTCTCAGGATCTTATCATGGCTGATTCATATGGTATTTGCTTTGTCACAGGCATTATCTTGAGTAAAACTAATAAATCACAACCTGTTTAAGTGACAGTGACTGTTGGATTGTAGTTTTACTTGGTGAAAATCTATTATGGAGAAAATCGATTCACATTATATGGGAGAAAGGAATAGGTCAAACACTGGGAGAGGGATGAATTCCTTCAGCAGTCAGTCATTAATATCCTCAGTCTCTCAGTTGCTTTGGTGGACACTTGAATCTTTATTGAGGATGCTCCAGAGTCTTTTACAGTAATAATCATTTTTCCCTCCATGGGTAAGAGGACAAACCATTGCATGAGTTGCTCTGTATGTCCACAAACAGTTTTGGTCTCATCTCTCAGTACTCTGACCTTTTTTAAATCTTATGCCACACTGACCAAGAGGTCAGACACACTCTTGGTCATGGGACTTGGCAATGTTGTTCGCTTTGTCTGTACCACATCTCTTCTCCTATTTTGCAAGTCAAGTCAAGTCAAGGTCCATGTTCTCAGTGAGGATTCTCATTGGTCTAACTCATATGGCAACTTTTCTCTGCCCTTGGCTCCTCATCTTTCTGCCTTGCTCTACATTTTTTGTTAGCCTAATTGACTTTAAACCTAACATATGATTTCTTTGCTTGTCATGTTTTCACTTTATTTTTCTTTTCCTTCAGCTAGAGTGTATGCCCCATACAAGCAAACATCTTTATCTGCCTTATTTACTGCTATATTCCAAGCACCTAAAGAAGTGCCCAGAGCTTGAAGTGCTCAATACTTGTTTGATGCATGAATAAAGAAAAGGTCTCATTTTGCAAGAAGATATCTGTGATCCACCAAAATCACCATTGTTAAGGAAAAAGCAAATGACATATTAGGTTATGGAGTATAGTTTTTGTTTGTATGGAAAAATGCACTTCATATTTATCACCTTTCTTACAGTAATGTGCTCTGTTGATACATTGTGTCAACATGAGAAGTTTAGAAGTTTAACTAAGCAACTCAGCAGGGAAGCAGGGTCCTTACTTTGTAAACAATCTCATCCTGTGCAAGAGTGGGGCAGGGAGATTTTGTGAATGCTACACTCTCTTGGAGGAAGGGTGGCTTGTGTACAATGTAAGTGAGGAAAAGAGGCTTGCAATTTCCCATTTTTGCTTTTGTTGCTTTGCTGTCTCCTGCTGCTTGAAGTATTGCCCCTGTGCCATGCCACTCTACCTTGGAACCATCTGATTATGGACTGAAACCTCCACAAACTGTGAGCTAAATAAACCTTTCCTTCCTTAATTTTGAATGTTGGGTATTTTGTCTCAGCAGCAAGAAAGAAGTAACCAAGACAGAATGTTTGCAAGATGGAAATGTTTAGTGTATTTTTTTCTAGTAGGCTGAAACATGGGCAGCTTTTATTCTTGTTAGTGTTTATTTACTTACGCAGTTGAATAAGGTCAATAATATAGTAATACTTCAGTTGCTGAATGGCGCAAGCATCAACGTTGTCACTACCCAGATAGCAAAGTTTGAAAAAATCTGCACGGTGTTCGTAACTTTGCTGAACTGTCAACTGAAAATCATTCTTGAGAAAATGTATATGAGCAGAGAAGGAGCCCCGTGTTGTGTTTTATCATGGGCACAAAGAAGTGACAGACACTTCAGTCTAAATGCTTTCTTGCCCAGATAAAATGTAGTTGAGAAAAAGTGAAAAAAGACCAACAGAAAAGATTCCTGAAAGTGTACTGCATGTAGTCATATGGAAGGAGACACTTATTCCAAAAAACAAAACAAAACTCCTCCTCCTCCAGTTTCTCTCCAGTTTCCACTATGCCAGTGAGTCTCCAAGTCAAGATAAAGTACTTGTTCAAAATGTATTAAAATATTTATTATACTGTATTTTGATATTAAATGTATTTTATTTGTTGATGTGTTTCTGAGTCAAGGTCTGATTATGCAATTCAGGATGACTCTGAACTCACTACATAGGTGACGCTGGCCTCTAACTCATAGAGATCCTTATGCCTCAGCCTCCTGAGTGCTAAGATTACAGATGAGCATCACCACACTCAGCTACTGTATTTATTGTGGTTAGATGTTTTCAGGAATATTTCCACAACCTATGACTGTTAACTTTGTGTTCAAATCCATGAAAAATTAATTATAAGCATAATTTTTGTACCTCAGAACTAATTATTTTGTTTTACATTATTTCTTGTGGGAAAATATGTTTGGTTCTTGAAATTTGCAATATTTGAACATGAATGTGGGATGAATTGAGTTCAACAATAAAGTATCACCATACTAATTTGACGCCTTCTTAGTGGAGAATGATTATTGATTATTTTTGGCACTCAATCTGAACCGGCACAGAGAAAATGAGAGAGAGAGAGAGAGAGAGAGAGAGAGAGAGAGAGAGAGAGAGAGAGAGAAAGAGAGAGAGAGAGAGAGAGAGAGAGAGAGAGAAGAAGGCCTTTAATGCGGGCATGGGAGAGTTTCATAAGAGTATACTGGCTCTTTTAGCTGGGGGAAGAAGTTTTGGGAAGAAGTTTTGGAAGTGGGAAAAATGACCTATGAACTGCTGATTTGAAGAAGCATCTGCTTATATAAAACAGGAAAGAGAAAGATTTACTGGGGATTGGAGGGTGGAGGCTTGAGTGGTTGTGGAATCTTGGGATTGCAGAGGGCTTGTGATATGGGCAGAAAAAGGATGGACTCCAAAAACTAAAAAGAAATGCTTTATTAGCTGAGCTCAGTGACAACACTGTCCCAGGAAAGCAGCCAGGGAAGTATGTGCCCAAGCCAGGGGCTGCAGGGAGTTATAAAGTAGCAAGCCGGGTCTTAGGACCATTTTGTCCTCATAAAAGGAACGAGGGAGGTGGAACAAGCAGTTACAGGAACCAGGAAGGCAGGGAGGGGGTTACATGGTGGGTATGTTACAAGGTTGCAACTTAATTGACAATTGTACAAGTTTTACAGGAAGAGAACAAGTTATAATAAGTATAGCATATTTTGGGGTTTTTGAGCTTGTAACAGCTTGGTGCACACACAGAAAGAGAGCAGGAGGTTTATCTCTGGAATGAGGAGGAGAACATAGCAGTCACTCTTGGAGAGATAAATTGTTTCTCTGGGTCTGGTACCAAGTGGGGCAGATGTCATGTTTAAGGTAGCTAAGCTCCAAGCTAGCAGAACGTATCAGAGAACCCTAATTCCATACATCCTTCTAGCATGGTAGCTCCTGCACTATACTTTCTATTCCTGGATGAGAACCTCTGGGAAGCTGTTTTTCCTGAAGTATCTCCGTCATGGTTTACGTTGGTGGACCTCAGGCCTCATGCATTTGCATTGTGTATTTGTGATTGTTCGTTGTCTAGCGCTTGGATTGATGGTGCCAGTGCTATGTTCACCTAGGGGTGGAGCCAGCATATAATGTAATGCCAGGAAGAAGGTATGTCACTCTCTCTTGCTGATTTCCACCTTGCTGTTTGCAGCCACCATGAACTGCAACCCCACCATGCCACCCTGCCTTGGAGCCAGTTGACTATGGACTGAAACCACCCAAAACTGTAAGAAATAAACCTTTGCTTTCCCAACTTTGGGCATCAGGTATTTTGTCTCAGCTACGAGTAAGAGGTTACTAAGACAGCCTCTGAGTATATAGATCTGGGAAGCTCTGTTTACTGTTGTAGTAATTTTGAGATAGCCCATAACACAAACATAAACATGCATGTACACACAACATATACACTGTGTGTATTTGCCACTTCCAGGTCAGGGTCCTCTGTGAAGTCCACAGTGCAACCATCCCACAGCATCATCTGCTGCATTCCTCAAAATCCCTTTGGAATTTGTGGTTTATACTGATCGCTTGGCATTCAGTACATCTTGCTATGTTTTCTTTATTATTTAGAAATAGTTTTTATTCTCTTATCTTGCATATACTTGTCTTTATATTTTTCTATTCCAAATACCTAAAGATCCATACACCTGTGATAATGATGAAAACTAGGAGAAAATAGTATCCTAGGAAATACTTTCAGTGTGATCACAGATCAAAACACGACTTGGGATTGAGATGCAGTGCCACATTCATCCTCAATTAATGTCAGTCTGTGCATTTTTCCTTTTAAAGTTGCTGAGTTCTGGAATGTGGAGAGGGAAACTTGTCAGGATGGCAGGTGGGGTGGAGATGGCTGGGTTGTTGGAGAGAAGGAGGCAAGTAATCCACAAGGCTAATTTACAGGAAGACTGAGAATTCGCAGCCTAGTGGATCTTCTGAAATGGAAATGGCAGTGAGATGTACAAATATATATTTGAGACCTCAAAGTGGGAGTTGCTGAAGCTAATGACAACATAACGATCAAAGACACCAGTGTGGTCTGAACAAGCTAACAAGCCTTGTCTCTGTAGTGACAGTCTCTCCTATTGCTCTCTCCTCACTGCTGAGAAATGCAGAAATTAATCTTAAGAAAAAGTTTTGGTAAATAATGATTAAAGTAGAAAATGATGCCTTTCTTAGTCTCTTTTACTTTATTCCAGGTGCCAAGGTGGACAACAACAGCACCAACAGCAACAGCAACAACAAACTTACGTGTATGACCCTGGTTTACACAGAAACTGGTAATATAAGTAATTTCATCATCTCTATGAGTGCATTATTAGGGTTAGCAAGCCTAAAATGGGAACTAAAACGTCAAATTCTTAAATGGGCTTTGTTCCCAGCACAATGTCATATTATATGATCCCATGTTTGGTGTAATATACTTCAGGTTAGGAACTAACATCTGGTTGATTGGTCGTGATACTTAGCAAATATTACTATGGGTAAGCAGATATCATTAGCTTCAAAACTCTTAGAGGACTCACTCTTTGCATCATCCACTTGACAATTAATCATGTACTCTCTGGTGACAGCTCCAGGATTACCATAGTATGTTAACTAGTTTGTTTTTTCTTCTTTTTTCTCTTTAAACAGCAATTTGGGTATTTGTATCTTGCTGCTCCAGACACAAGCTTCTGCAAATCACAGCTATTGATGGAAATTTGTCAGTGTTTCACACTGTGAGTTGTCCTAAGTAACAGGACCCTAGTAGTCCACATGAAACATAAAGTCATCTCCAAACTCCGACACATCATTCATTGAGTTAAACGTAGTTAGTGCTGTAGGGATGCTGTTAGTGCTTTGACAACTTCCGGTGGACTTCCTATGTCTAGGTGTATCCATCTCACTCTGGCGCCTAACACATACATCTTTGGTGAAAAGCTTCCCTGTGTTTGGAAGGTTTACAGTTTGCCCATTGTGCACATCAGATCTAGGGGCTAAAAATTTATAGCTCTTGGTGATATTCCAGAGCTGTAACAGGTAGTTTTGTATATCTGTCTATTAAGTATTCTCATTTCTTGTCCTTTTGTTAGATTTTGTAATATATATCTTACCAAATTTTCCAGCTTCCTTGTAAGGTTGTCCATCAGCTTCCTGCGGCCTTAATCATACATCAATTTCTAGCTGTCTTTCCTGTCCTAAGTAGCTTTCCCTGTCTTCTCTTGGTGTCATTAGACTTCCCAGATATACTCCATGAAGCTAACTTTGATGTCATTGCTTGATTCTGTGGAAAACCAACCAAAACTTTGGTACTAACATGTTCCCAGAAGCTGGTTTTGGGATCGGGGTCCCAGGGTTAGTTCACTTTATGATTGGATGCCATCTTAGGGGAAGATAAGATATGGCTGTCCATAGTTGGTATAATAACAAAATTACTGAGACACTGCCTTAGCTCAGACTTCTGTAATAAAATACAGAATAAAATGGGTGGCTTAAAAAATAGCCATTTACTTTTCACTGGTCTGGAAACTGGAAATTCAAGGTCAAAGCACCAGCAGATTAAATTCCTGGTGAGAGCATTGTTCTTGACTTGTAGTGCTCTCTTGCTGGATCTACATGTGACTTTTTCTTGGTGTCTGTTCATGGAAGATGATCAAGATTTCTTCCTTTTCCTCCCTCTCCCTCTTGCTCCACTCTTCTCTCCTCCTCCTCCTTCATCTACCAACTCCACTGTCATGATTCATCAAAGTTCTTCAAGACTCTACTTCCAACTATCATTACATTGGGGATTAGGCCTTCAAGTCTGAGTAGTTCTGCAGGTCACAACAACCAAGTGGCGGAGACGGACACTACTTCTCTCTGTAGCACTGATGCTTCACCACTAGTCTCCACTGGATTCTTTTAAGAAAAGAATAGAGAGGAAAGACTTTAAACCCTGTTCATAGATGAATTTGTTACATAGAGGATCTAAAAACAGGCTCCAGCTGCCCAGTGGCCACATTCAAGGAGGGCTCTGACAGTAACTATGGGATGAAATTTTTGGAGAATATTATTTCAAGAAGTCAATGCATCATCAGCTTACTGGAACGAAAAGTGGTTGGAGATAAGGACAGAATGCTACGTAGAAGTAAATGGTTTGACCATTAGAACTTAGGAGCAGTAACACTGGCTGCAAAGTGAAGATATCAGGGGGCAATCATGTGATTAGAATTAAGCGTGTCCCAAATTAAGAAATTGAGTTTTAGAATGGGCACTAAGTTTCCTAAGGCATTTTTTTGGCCATTACTCTGACTTCTATGTCTTTTATTATGAAAACACTGTGGCAATGGGGAGACACATGCATATAAGGATTCATGGGTATTATCAAGCCATGCAACATTGGAAAAAGGCAGAAATGCTGGCCAAGGGCCAGGGGGGTCTTAACCAGTCAGAATAGAGAGGTGACTAGCATAAACTTATTGCCTTGGGACCAGTTGCACTGGTGAGGAACTATAGATTTCACTAAAAGTTCTATAAAGCCCTTTTTCCTTTCTTTCTCCCCTCCATCCTTCCTTTCTTTAAATAATTCTTTAAAAAGGTAAAATAATTCATAATTTTCAGGCCATGCAAAACAAGCTCTGGGCAGTTTGGTGGCCCAGTTCTGGATACTCGTTTTCCATAAAGGCAGGACTGTTGTATATTTTGCTTCAAAGCCTTAACCAGTGCCTGGCTCTTACGAGGGAATTTAGAAATGGTTTTGAGTGAATGGGTAATTAATAGAACACTGAACACTATGGGATCTGGTACATAAATGTTATATTAATTTTATCTTGTTAGCTGAAAATGGATGAGGCGTCTGAAGAGATTACTTTTCTGAGAAAAGATCATGTCAGATAAGCAAAATTAAATCATTTTATTGGCTGATGATGTACATATTGATAGAATTAAATAACTAATAATTATTTAGTCCTTTGTGACTTGATTTCTCATATGCATTGAGTCACATTCTCATTTCATTTAAAGAATAGATTCTACACCTTGACCGAAGTCTTTGGTTTGTTCATCAAGGAGTTTCAACCAGGTCATAAAATAGGTCAGTTTTAAAAATGTGTCTTATGGGTCAAATTTATTTTAAAAAAGTTAAATTGAGGTTAGAGATGTGAACCATTGTGTAATTATTTACTTTGGATTCTGTCTCTAAGAATAAGGTGACCTAAATCTAATACTCATTTATTTGTTTGGAGAAATTCAGAATCTTACTGAGTATTTCTTAATTCTCAAATTGTCTATATGCAATTCCAAAGTTAATTCTCTCTTCTTTAATATTTTTCTGTAGGAAATATTGTTACATTATATGTTTGTAACAAAATGTTGCCACATTATGTTTATTTTTCTATATTTTCCATTTATTTGAAGCATAACTGGTATATAACTGCATATATTTAAGTATACAATTTGACGAGTTTTGACCAGCATATACACTTGTGACATCATCATATCAAGACAATGAACATATCTAGAATTTCTCAAAGTTGTTTTTTGGCTCATAACCTTTTCTTCTTTTCTGCTCTCCTCACAACTCTTCTTATCTATAGGCAACTACTGATTTGCTGTCTGTTCTTAAAGATTACTTTGCATTTTCTAGAATTTTGCATAAATGGATTGCAGACTATGTATTTCTTCCTGTCTGGCTTCTTTTATTCCATGTAATTATTTTGAGACTCATTCCTGTTGCTTCATATATCAATATTTCATTTTAAAAATTAATTATATTGGTATACTTCTGATATAGCAATTCATCATAGGTAATTTGTTCCTGTTCATAATATATCTTAACTCTTCTTTTTTTCCTCATTCACTAAACCAATTCCATGTGCTGGGCTGGTCACTGGGTTACCCACTAGTCATACCAGTTGAGTTATTGGAAAGAAACAGAAGACACAAAGTTATATGCAAATGGGGCCTTTGAAAAAGTCTCAGAAAGGCACTATTTACAAAAGGGTAGGAAGGCCGCAGAGAAACAGAGAGACAGTTTGGGACTTATGGGAAAGAAGTAGTAGCTGCTTTATCTGGAGGCTGAGTGGTTATAGTAAGCCAACCTGAGCTGGCCATATGGGGAATGTGATTCGACTAGGAAGGCTGTGGGGTTCCTAGCAAACCACCAGGGAGAGAGAAAAGCTCCAATGTTCTTCCTCTGCATCCTCCATCCTCTGAAGCTTTCCATCCTCCATGCCCAGCTGGGGGACCCTGAGAAGTGGTGCAGATCACTACATGGAGTAGATAGGGAAAGATGTGAGAACATGTAGAGAGGATCAAGAGATTAAATGTATCAGTCAAATGATGAGATACACATACCAATGAAAAGCTAAATGGCATATTTGTTTAGTTAAGGCAGGTCTAAAGAAGATTAGATACGGAAGAGAAAATTTTAACTTCTGCCCACAGAAGTAGGGGAAGCTTTCCATGAGAAGCCTTCTTACACCGAGACTGAATTTCTCTATACACTGTAACACTCAAGTGTGAAAAAGAACTGGAAAAAAGAACAAAGAATACCACTGAAAACTTGGGTCTTATGATTTGTAGGAAAACAGTGTAAATGTAATTTATTGTTCTTTTGCATGGCAATATACGTAGGTATTATTACAAGGAGAAGGATACCAAGAAAGGGAAACTAGTAAGTTCAAATAAAATATGAAAAGACTTTTTTAGCATCAGTGCACACTAACAAAGGGCATTTAGCGTGACTAAAGTGGTAATGGTGTCAGATGATGAATTGACTTGCAGTATATTAGTTAAGATGAGCTCACTGAAATAATTTCCACATAGTTGAAAACTAAACAAAATGTTAGTCAATTCTCAACATTAAGAAGACTCAAATAAACTGTTAAGATTTGCACACCAGTAATAAAATATTTAGTCTAGGCTTCTATCAGTAAAGTAAAATAAAACAAAATTCAGTATTTTGAAGACAGCCTACAGGTTTATATTTTGGCAGAATTCTGAAGATGTAAGTGTCCTGGTGAGGAGAAAATAATTGTAAAAAGAAGAAAATAAAACAAATACTTAGATTTAATTGAGATGGGTTCATAATCAATATAGGAATCCAAGCAACTAAATTGACAAGTTTTGGGGTTTTATTAGCTGAGCTAAGTGACCACCTACATAGACCCCTATTTCAGAGTCAGACAGAATGGCCCTGAACTGGAGGGTTACAGAGTTTTTAAAGCAGAAAACCACAAAACAAGACATCTTATTGGGAACAATGTAGCTAGAATCTTACATTAATTTTGGTTGACAACTGCATCTTGCTTCTTTGTTG